TTGTTAATTTGTTATATGACACGGGAATTGCATTTTTATTGGTACCTGCGTCTGATCTCTTGGAAATGTTATTCGTTTAGCACCAAGTCTACGAGGAAAGAAGGTGGCTTTGAAGTCATAAAGAAGCTTATTGAAAAGCTTGGACATAGGCACAAGGAACATATTGCTGCATATGGTGAAGGCAATGAGCGCCGTCTCACTGGAAGACATGAAACTGCCGATATCAACACCTTCAAATGGGTAAATTACTACTTTCTCTCTTCTAATGTGCTACGGGCAAACTAGTTAAAAGTAGCTTTTACATTTCTTAAGCTTATCCCCAGGTTACGTCCTTGTTCTTAGAAATGTAGGGATGCTTACAATCGCAAAGCTTAATAGCATTTTTGGCTAACTTATCGTCTTTTTCTTACTTTTAAGTAATATAAGTTACTTATGTTGAAAGTAATTCTGATCAGTCTTGTTCATTACAAATTTGAAGTTGTATATATGAATTCTTTTACTCCACACCTTTCGAATCATAATGTGGGACTTCAAAGAAATAGTGAATTGACCTTGTTATTTGCACGGTTTTTCGACAGGGGGTGGCAGACCGTGGTGCATCCATCCGTGTTGGTCGGGACATCGAGAAAGAAGGCAAGGGATACTTCGAGGATAGGAGGCCTGCTTCTAATATGGACCCGTACGTTGTCACCTCCATGATTGCAGAGACGACTATCCTTGGGAAGCAGTAATTCGTACCAGTCAGACATTATAAAGACAGAATCGTATTACGAAACAATCCTTTCATCTGTTTTCTGCAGGGCAGATTGTCTTGCATCATTCACTATTCTCTACTGCTATTTGTATTTGTATTGCAGTCTGCAAGATTTGGGTTCATTGTTCCTTCGACTTTTATCTGTTTAATAACAACTGCATGAAGGGTTGGCTTTCAATGTTTGCAAATATGTGTGTGTGTATGTCTGCCACATTGGAATTCAAAACCAAGAATTATTGATTCTATCAACGAATTTTCTTAATACAAAGGTGCAAGATAAGACGTTTACTTGTAGGAGGTAACTTACCTGAAAGTAGAGTACAGCCCTTCAAGAAAATTTTGCTATTGTAGGTAGAATGTTGACTTGATATATTCTCTCTATTACTTTATTCATTGATTAAATTTAAAATTTATTAAATTACACATATTTTTAATATTTCTAACTAAAAAACCGTTCAAAATCTTAAATTATTAAATTACCTAAGCATTTTTCACTATAGGAAAATTAAGCATTTACGACAGCAATTTGCCACCGTAAAAGGTATCTGAAATTGCCGCAAAAAAATCTACACGTCGTTTTCCATAATTTTTTGTATGTTGGCAATAATATCGTAGTAAATTTTTTTGCCGATTGAAAAGTATATGCATTTCCAAGAAACTCTTTATTTATAAAGAGCGTCTTATTCATTATGGAAAACATCTTTAAAATCAGAGAGTCAAAATGTTTATGCTCCCCAATGATACTCTCTATTTCGGATCTTTATCTTCTTTTTTTCAATAAACATTTATTGATTTCTCTTCTTATTTTAATTTAACATAATTTTTTATATGTCAATGTCCAATTAATTTAAATGTGATTTGAATAGTTTAAAAAGTAAAGTATTGAAATAGGTGAATTATTAAATGCAGTCACTTTACATTAAGAATATAAAATGAGTTCGACTCTCTAAATTTGAAAAGTCAACACACTTTTATTTAAAAATGTTAAAATAGAGAGTCTCTTGCAGTTTATTTTCAAATATTAACTCTTTAAAATTTTGTTTTTGAAGAGTTTATTGAAAATGTTCACCATAATCGTCAACTTTGTCGACAAAAGTAAAAAAGAGATTAAATACTAAGTCTTATATTTAAAACTAATAGTATCATTCAAGTCTCAAAAATATATCGAAAGCAACATATATTGTATTGCAATCAAGTTCCAAAACACTTCAAAGTATCTTCTAAAATAGTATGTGCTAATCATTTTCAAAAGTTAAAAATTTTACTTTCAGGTCAACTTACGCACACCTCGACTAATTTCATGGGCTCTGAAATTTACTGTCGGATATTCACCTTAGTAGCCCATAAAGGACTCGAACTAGATAGAATAATAAATAATAAAGTTAAACAAAGTTCAGGTTTCTTAAACTTATGGCTAGTTTTATTTTATTCTCTCAGACACTTGTTCACGTTTTTACTTACTTTGTAGCCAAGTAAAGCTCACTTATAAGTGAAGTTCTATAAAAGTTAGGTTTAACTGAATAACTAAATTTCTTATTTATATATAGAAAAGCAATTATCGCAAAATAAGTAACTGTTTATTTTTTTCATTTTCCGTGTATATGAAATCACTCATTATAAGTATTTTGGCTAGTCTTAAAAAATGTACTTATAAGTAAAAAAATTATTATTCTTTTCAACTATTACGTTAGAGCATGTTTGGTACAGCTTAAAATTCAATTAAAATAAAATTTTTGATCGTTATTTTACTATTTCAACCGTCATTTTTGAATTCTTCTCTCACACGTAGGATCCACTTTATTTTTAACGGTCAAAAAATTAATTAACAAAATACATACCAAACAAGCACTTAACTTATCTTACTGCAAGATGAGAATTATTCACAAATAAATAACTTTAACTTGAATTAAGAGAAAAGTAACAACTATACATATATGACAGCGGAAAAGAAACTTTTACTTTAATTAAGTTTAGCCAAACATGCGTGTCCTTTACCAATTATAACCAGTTATGTCAGAAATCAGGTGATACCAAATTTTATATTTCTCCTAATTTTAGGCAAATCATCTTTTACCCCAAATCACTCAATCCCTGTGTACGTATACAAGCTGAAATCGTGAATGGAATTGTGCAATAATTATTTTCAACATCATTCTTTGTAATTCGCCTCGTAGATCGACCGCATAATCGCCTGAAACAGTAACCTTGGCGGGAAAATTCAGGTTTTCGTCTCTCTTCTCCTACTTTTCAGTATTTTTTCCACATTGTTCATTGGCGACCAGTAACTCTCCACCTTTTGCCGGTCACATTTTTTCCTTTCACCTTGTATTCGCCCGCTATTTTAACTCTGTTTTGGCTTTTCACTGGGCAATTAGTGTTATTGCTTTTCCCTAATCGCTGAAAAATAGACCCTGTTTTTAGCCTATCTGATACGGTATTTTCCACGCTTTTCTGTAACTACTGTAAATGAATTATGTATTTTCAGTAATTACAATTTTAATAACCTATGAAATAGTTTTATGATCTGCCCTTTTTGTAACTATGTTTGATGAATCAATTATGTATGCTTTTTTATAAACATATAAATCCAATAGTTTATATAATTTGATGCGATTTTTTCATATCATAGATAAATTGTAATCTAAACAAGACAAATATGATATCGTAATGGTTTGAGTCAATTACGAATTAAAATTAAGTTTAATAGATGGACTCTCAAGGAAATCATAAAATTCCAACAGAGGAGGAGATAAGAGCATACTGTAATCAATGAGAGGTGCTGTGCTCGGTGACGTGATTTTGCTAAACTGCAGTTGGTTGAATTGTCTGAAGAAGAAATTGCTTAAGGAATTTGACCTTGAACCTACTCAGCTAAGGATGACTCGGATAATTTAGTTAGGATATTTAAGATCATGACAGGATAGTGCGATAAGAAGAAGAAACAAATGAGAATCGTGAAGAGAGAATTGTTATAGAACGGCCTTTTATCTGCTTTCTGTAGGGTACTTTTTCTTGTTTTCATTTGGTGTTATCTATCACTATTAGCCTTTGTGTCTCCATCTGTAAGGTTGAGTTTATTGCGGTTTGTATTTTGCACCTCTTCACAGACACAGTTATTGTAACAATATGAGGGGTTGGTTTTCAATGTTGGAAACTGAGGTTTATTATCAAGTGTTTCATGCCTTGGCTCTATGATAATTGATCTTCGTTTTCTGCATTTTCTTTGGTACCATTAATTTTATTTCAATGACTTAATAGTAGTACAGTCGTATTTTAAAAAATCTTTCCTGAATAAGATTCTAAATCAAGAGACTTTTACTGATTTTCGAAGGCGCATTTGAATGAAAAGAACAAGGAAGGTGATGAGATTGAGATGGTTCAGACATTGCCTCCATTTTCTGCTCCGTTTTTTGTGCTGTATAATCCTTCTCTTCATGGGATTATTTTTAACAAGAAAAATTATATAATGGACTGCTACATATCTATGGTAAAAAGACCATCTCTTTCCGCTGTTATTACCTTGTAAAGACGAATTCAGCTCAATCAACTAGACCATTTGTTGAGTTGGTTCAGCTAACTATTTGAATATTTTGTCGAGTAACTAAGTTTAACGACGAAGATACATTACTCGAAGAAAGTTACATAACGTGTAGTATTCTTTCATTTCTGGCACTGTCATCTGGTGGCCATTGTCCTCAAATTGAACATCTTTCCAACCAGACTTGGATTTGGCAGCAGAAGTTAGTCGATGTGGTGACGTATTCAGACTTAAAAGGTCTTTTAGGATAATTCATTATAGGGAACAGCTCGGCTATTTTTCAAAAAAAAAGAATTATTTTTCTCTGTTTCCCTTTTTAAGAAATTATCTCTTATAATGTTTTGATTTATTGCAATAAGAGTTTATGTTTTATAAGCAAGAAAAATGTAATTTGTAAAGTTAAACAAAGATCATGTTTTTAGAACTCTAAAAGTTTTATTTTTGATTAGCTTGTATTTGGTTATGTTTGACTAACTTTTAAACTAATTAATACTTGCTTGTAAGTAAAGTTTGAAAAAAGGTGTTTTGAGTTTTTTATATATAAGTAGAAAAGTTATTTATTAAGAGCATGTTTGATAGTGCTTAAAAGTAAGTCAAACTTACTTTAAAATTAATTATTTTGTTAAAAATAATTTTTGAAGTTAAGTTTTTATACCACACAAAACTTATCCCTTAAAGCCCAACCAACGTGCTCTTTGAGAGTCGAAAGGGATATGTCAAATAATTAACTTGAATTCCTTGTTAATTTGACAAAATCACTATTCACCTTTACAGTTAAGCTAGTTTAATCATGTCAAGAGTCAGGTGACATCTATATTAAGCTGTGCCTATTTAACTTTGGCGACTACTTGATTTGCACCCTAATCATAGCAATCCCCCCTTGTGTGTACAAGCTGAATCCCTGAAAATAGTTACGTAAGAATTATTTTCAACGCTATTCTTTGTGATAACCGCCGTAGATCTGATGGAATCTCCGGAAAATCCAGGTCTTCTTCTCTCTTCGTGTCCTTTACAGTTTTTTGTTTCCATACCTTCATCATTCACCTACCGTTATTTACTTGCCACCGGCCAGAATTCTTTTGTATGCTGACTTTTTCTCCAAATCATCAGCCAGAACTTTTCCTTTCTCCTTAAATTTGACGGTCGTGTTTCACAACTCTGTTTTGGCCTTTGTTTTGGCCTTTCACTGGCCAAATACATATTGCTTTGCCCTAATCAATGAGCTACCGTGCTTTTTAACTTTTTTGATGTGTTGTTTTTCATGCTTTTCGGTATCTATGGTATATGAATTTTATTATAATTGAGTAATTACAATTTCAAGTTTTCAAAATATTTTCATAATCTGCTTTGATGAATATTTTTATGTATGCTTTTTATAAAATTCTACAGTTGTTTAACTAGATGTGTATAATTGCGCATCATGGGACATATAATAGTAATTTGAATAGGATGATCTTGATATTGGAATTATTGAGTTTTTAATTAATTAGAAAATTAATTGTAACAGATGGATGGTAATGAAACATCTCAAAATCTGAACAAAAGCTCGGCAAGGTGGGATGAGTTTGCTAAACTTAAGTTTGTTGAATTGTGTGAAGAAGAGATTTCCAAAGGAAATCGACCTCGAACCTACTTATCAAAGGATGGATGGGATAATTTAGTTAGAAGATTTAAGATCATGACTGGCCGGAGCTATAACAAGAAACAAATGAGAAATCATTGGGATTCAATAAAATTGGAGTGGTGTCTTTTTAAAGATCTGATGCGAGGACAAACTGAAATTGGCTGGGACGAGGCAAGAAAAACAATTGTTGCCAATGACAAGTGGTGGGAAGAAAGGATTCAGGTATTATATGTGCGAGTACATTTTTCATTACATGTTATTTAAATGTCTCTAAATTTGATATTTGTGAAAACTCTTATACAGGTGAACGAGAAATTCAAAAGATTCAGAAATAGAGATTTATCTTTAATATGTAGATACGACGTCCTATTTTCTGACGTTGTAGATACTGGATCTAAGGGACGTACACCCGATAGTCGGTTTTATGTAGGAGGACCGAAGAAAGAGGCTGCATATGATGAAGTTGAAGGTAGTGGTAATAATGACGAGTGCTTAAAATTGATAGTAGCTGGGCAATCAAGGGAAAATCCTGAAAACTACATGCTTCCTGCAGCCGGGCAATCAAGGGAAATTCATGAAAATTGCATACTCCCAGCAGCTGGGCAGTCAAGACAAAATCATGAAAATATCATATTTCCCTTGGCAGGGCAATCAAGGGAAAATCATGAAAATTGTGTATCTCCCTTAGCAGAGCAATCAAGGGAAAATCGTGAAAATTACATGTTACCATCTTCCTCGTTCGCAAAAAGAAAATCAAGCAACAGGTCAGAAACGAGGAAATCAAGGTCTTCCTCGTTGCGGGATGATATTGAGAACCTTGCGAATTTGATTTCTGCCAAGATTGGTGGTCCTGGACCCTCCATCGAGGAGTGCTTGGGCGTGCTACGCAAGATTGATGGACTTGCCGTTGGAAGTCCAACATATTTCTACGCGTGCAACTTCCTTTGTGACAAAGAAAATAGGGAAATGTTTGTTGCAATTGGAGATGATACAACACGATACAATTGGATTATATATAACTATAATATCTCGAAATCAAACAATCCAAGGTTGCCATGATCTAGTTCACTGTTAAGTTTTCAATATTTCCGGGCATGTTGATCAATATTTCGATGAATAGGTTATGTAAAACAGATCGAGACTTATTTATGTTGTATGAATTATGTAAGCTTTCTTGCAATCTATCTTATTACTTTATTTTTTGTTTAAATGTTTAGATTTTGTTCAAAGATAAATAAATAGAGCAATGAGATGTTAGCACGTGTAGCTTTAGCCCCTTATTTGGTAGAAATTAAAATTCATATTTTAATCTAAATCAAAGTCATAGTTAATTTTAATCATATATTTTATATGACCTATAATTTTTCAGTCACATATTTTATCAATTTTTATTAAAATTTAATAAAAATTTGATTTTAATTTTTATCAGACAGGGATTTTGTCATAGACTAAGAATAAAGGAATGAGAGTGATTAATTATGGTAAATCATAATAATGATAATTTCAGAATCAATTTGATTTCCTTTTAATAAAGCAGACATGAATTATGCATATGTAATTTCTTTTTTTCTAAGAATAGTCTATTACCTATTTCAACAAAGGCTGTTTAGCTATTTAATAGCTTAAGGCCATGAATAAAAGGATCCATGATTATTATCTCCAACCTTGAGTTGATTAGGAGTTGTGGTTTATCTCAAATTAAACCAACCTAAAGAGGTCCAAGGGTCTCTCGAAATATCCTACAAATTATCATCATAGGTAGAAAATGCAAGAACTATCCTTGTTCTCTACCCGTTAATAAGCCCACTACTAGGTCACAATCTAAGGCACGTGACAACTTGGCGCCGTCTGTGAAGGTGTCTATTGTAGACATGTCTGACAACCGCCTTGAGCACATGGTAAGTGAGCTTGGTTCTTTGGCAGCCGGCCAAATGAACCTTCAACGATTGATGCAAGCTACCGAAGAACACCTCTTGAAGCATATTGGGCTGCCAAATGAACCTTCAACGATTGATGCAAGCTACCGAAGAATGCCTCTTGAAGCATATGGAAAGCATGTTTGCTCGTTTCTCTATTTGCGGTGGAAGCTACGACGAAGATGTCGAATCTTCTCATCCTCCACCTCGTCGAAGTTCAACAGGAAGAGGCCCTCTCGCTCCGAAAATCACAAAACTGGACTTTCCACGCTATAATGGCATGGAGGACCCTACTGGATGGATTTGTCTGGTGGAGCAATTTTTTGAGTTCCAAAACACCGAAGAAACGGATAAACTTCCAATGGCTGGATATCACTTAGATGGTGATGTTCAATTGTGGTATCAACAATTCAAACAGAGGCATGAAGGTGTCAATTGGGATGCTTTTAAATCTGAGTTGCATCTCCATTATGGCCCATCAAGATTCCACAACTTTTTTGGGGATCTCACCAAGCTAAAGCACATCGGAAGTGTTCGTGAGTATCAAATAGAGTTTGACCGATTGCTCCATCGAGCAAGCCATTTATCGGAGGATCAACAAGTCGGGTGTTTTGTAAGCAGGTTAAAAGAGTCCATACGCGTGGATGCCCAAGCATGTAACCCGTCTTCCTTGTTCGTCGCTATTGGTCTTGCACGACTCAAAGAGTCTCGTATGTACGAACAAAGAAGGAACAGCTATGTAGAGTTTCGAAAGACCCCATCCTTTGCCGGACCACCACCCTTACCCTCGACTTCCCTTACACAAACACGCCTTCCTACAATCAAAAGATTAAGCCCATAAGAGCTACAAGATAGGAGGACGTGCGGTTTGTGCTTCAATTGTGGCGAAAAATTTTCCTTGGGGCGTTGTTGTAAGAAGTTATTTTTGATAGAAGGGATATTTCCTTCACTTGATGAGCCTTGGAAGAGACAACCATGGAGGATGAAGCAGAGGAAAATGCTCCCGAAATTAGTTTTCATGCTATTTCTGGAAATGCAGCCCCACAAACCATGCGGTTTCTTGGCAAACTTGGAGATTCGGTGGTCACAATTTTAGTAGATTCAGGAAGCACTCATAACTTCGTAAATCCAAACATAGCTACTAAACAGGGAATTTCTCCAACAAAGGCAGGCAAATTTTCTGTGCGAGTGGTTGATGGCAGTAAAATGAAGAGGGAGGGATTGTGTGAAAATCTCCCTATTTTGGTTCAAAGGGTACAATTCCACGTGGATTTTTTCCTCCTACCTGTGGATGGATGTGATGTTGTTTTTGGCACGCAATGGCTCAAACAAATGGGGCCAATTATATGGGAATTCAATGAGCTTTGGATGAACAACTGTTGGAAGGGAAAATCAGTTAAATTATGTGGAACAAAATGGCCTAGTAATAAAGTCCTAATGAATCGTGATTTGGGAACACAATTACGGAAAGGAAAACGAGCCTTCTTGTTACAACTTCATTCCTTACACCTGGGAGAAAAGAAAGGAGCTATTGCTAATCAAATAAACCAAGATTTGATGGCCCTTTTAGATCAATACTTGACAATCTTTAATGAGATCCAGCGCTTGCCACCTCAACGCTCTCAAGATCATAAGATTCCACTGTTACGAGGCACCAATCCAATTTTCAGTAAAGCCATACTGTTATCTTCATTATCAAGAGAATGAAATTGAAAAAATGGTAAGGCCCAACACGAGTCCTTACTCATCTTCCTTACTCATCTCCTGTCTTATTGGTTAAGAAGCATGATGGCTCATGGCGATTATGTGTAGATTATCGGGATCTCAATAGCATCGCTGTCAGGGACAAGTACCCTATACCCATCATTGATGAGCTAATGGATGAATTACATGGGGCGCACTTTTATACAAAGCTAGACTTATGGTCGGGATACCATCAAATACGGATGCACCCAAGGATATTGAGAAAACCGCCTTTCAAACACATCAACGACATTATGAATTTTTGGTCATGCCATTTGGCCTTACAAATGCACCGGCCACCTTTCAAAGTGTGATGAATGAGGTATTCAAAGAATTTCTCTATAAATTCGTTTTGGTATTTTTTGATGATATCCTAATCTTTAGCAAAACTTGGGAGGATCATTTACTTCATGTACAACGCGTGCTTCACATTTTGCAAGATAAACAATTTTTTGTTTACAGCGTGAAAAGTACCAATTTGGTCAGGAGGACGTGGGCTACTTGGGGCATTTAGTCTCTCATCAGGGGGTGTCCATGGATCCAGAAAAAATTTCATCCATGCTAACATGGCCAAAGCCCACGACATTGAAAGGTTTGCGTGGTTTTTTGGGCCTCATGGGGTACTACCGAAAATTCATTCACCGTTATGGCATTATTGCACAACCATTGACAAATATGCTCAAAAAGGTCTCCTTCAATTGGACCCCAGCAGCTGACCAAACATTTGACGAGTTAAAAGATGCCATGATATCTAGGCCCATATTGGCACTCTCAAATTTTTCCAAGCCCTTCATCGTTGAATGTGACGCATCAGGTGGGGGTTTGGGAGTTGTACTCATGCAAGGAAATCAACCAATTGCTTTTTTTAGCCAAGCATTACAAGGTAAAAATCTTGCCTCATCCACTTATGAAAAAGAAATGTTGGCCTTGGTTAAGGCAGTCCATAAATGGCGGCCGTATCTTTTAGGAGCTCAGTTTATTGTTCGCACAGATAAAAAAAGCTTGCAATTTCTATTGGGGCAAACAATTACTGTTGTTGCACAACAAAAATGGCTAGTAAAACTCTTGGGTTTTGATTTTCAAATTCACTACTAAAAAGGAACGAAAAATAAAGCTGCAGATGCTTTATCTTGAAAATTTGAAATTCAAGCATGTGCGATGTCTTTTCCTATTCCTAGTTGGGTAAATCCCATAAGATCCGAGATTGTGGCTAATTCTCAATTATAGGATTTGGTGAAGAAAATTAATGAAGGAGAAGCTTTGGGGCCATGGACCTTCAGGGAGGGATTGATTTTCTTTAAAGACAAGATTTATCTCTTACCTTCATCCGATATGATAATTCCTATCATCGAGGAATTCCACTCCAACACTCATGAAGGACTCCACAAATCTCTCCACAGAATCAAAGCAGTCTTCTATTGGAAAGGAATGAAGAAACACATGAGGAAATTTATACAGGAGTGTGATGTCTGCCAAAAAAATAAAGTTGACCAGGCAAAGCCCTCTGGTTGACTGAATCCTCTTCCCGTTCCATGCCATGTATGGACTGATATCTCCATGGATTTCATAGATGGCTTGCCGACATCTCGAGGTAACTCTACCATCTTTGTGGTAGTTGATAGATTCTCAAAATATGGCCATTTTATTCCCATCAAACATCATACATAGCCATGGGTGTTGCACACATGTTTTTTGACAACATTTTTAAGCTTCATGGCATGCTCGAGACGATTGTATGTGACCGTGACCCGGTGTTCACAAGTTCCTTTTGGAAGAATTTATTCCTGTTAAATGGAATAAAATTCAATTTCATCTTGGCATACCACTCCCAAACCGATGGTCAAATCGAGGTGGTCAATAAGACGTTGGAAATGTATTTACGGTGTTTTACAAGTTCTAAGCCTAAAGAATCGGTTGTTTGGCCTCCCTGGGCTGAATTTTGCTACAATACGAGCCTGCACTCCTCTACCAAGAAGACATCCTTCGAAGTTGTCTACGGTTGCGAACCTCCCACTTTACTTGCCTATGTTCATGGTACTTCGCAGGTGGAATCAGTTGACAAATTTTTACTTGAAAGAAATGTAGTGATTAGGGATGTCAAGGCCAATTTGAGGATTGCACAGGAGAGAACCAAGAAATATTATGACCAGAAGCACATAGAAAGAACTTTCAATGTGGGTGATTTTGTCTACCTCAAATTGCGCCCCTATCGTCAACTTTCTTTGGCTCAACATAAAAATCTCAAGTTAAGTCCCAAATTTTTTGGCCCTTTTAAATTTGTATCCAAGATTAGCGACGTGGCATACAAATTGGAACTACCACCAAATCTAAAATTACATCCTGTTTTCCATGTTTCTCTCCTGAAAAAGAGAATTGGAAATCAAGAAGAAATCTCTCCAACTCTGCCTGAATTGCCAAAGGAAGGGGCACCACATCCACTACCTCAAGCCATCTTGGAAACTCGCACAAACGGAGGAGACACAGAAGCTCTTGTGCATTGGCAAAATCTTTCTCCTACTGAAGCCACATGGGA